CCCGTCCAAACAGCAACTCTCACAACAAATCTCATCCACTGTCCAACAACCCCAACAACAAGTTGAGAGTGTATTTTTGCGACCTCAAATGTCTCAGACAAACGCACAAACCGGATTGACAATGCCTCAGCCTCAAACTCTGAGTGTTCAGCAGTCAATTTCGAACCAGCCCGAATCTCAGCTTATCTATACCCAGCCCCAATCGGCCGCCTCAATTCTCGAACCGAGTCAACAATATCCACAATCACAACTTGAAACGGTCTACGCAAGATCTGGAGTCACACAAAATATTCCGCAGCCAGAAACTATTATATCGCAACGCCAAGTTACTTCTGTCGGATCACAGCCTCAATCTGAGCTTTCCATGCCTCAGCAATCTCAGATTATCTCTGCTGAGCAACTTCAATCGCAGCATCCATCAATCTTATCATATGCACCTGAGCGTCAACCTATGGAGTATTCAGGATCAATTCAACAACCACAACAACAACAGCAAATGCAAATCCAAGCACCTACAATTCAAGAGTATTCCAACTCGCAATTTGTTCACGCTGGTGCAGGCTCAGTGCAACAAGCGGAAATAAAATGTCCTCCAGGATCATGTCCTCAAGCGCCATGTCCTTGCGGAAACAATCGAATTTCAGAGCAGGTTTGAATCTTCGACCAAAATTCTCTCGTTTTCTTAAACTTCATAACCTCATTAATGCATGATTTGCATGCACTCAAAAATCATTCCTCAATTTATCACAGTAATGAGTCCGGATTATATGCATCGTCCCAAATGCCTTGGTGGCATTGACTTACCATATTTTAATAACATATCACCGCATATGTTAATACTGATCCATGGCATCGATAATTACACTGATATGATCGTCTTACTAATCAGAATGTTTCATCTTAGAACTGCCCCCTTCAGGAAGTTTTCACTGCTAAATTTTCATTCATCACCTAATTTTAAGCAGTTTCATATAACGTCTAGGAAGTAAAGATTGAAACTTGAAAGAAGAAGTTAGTCTCAAGCCATAGATTTATCACCAGATTAATGAATAAAATGCATCGTTCGTCTATCAGTCTCTCAGCAGATCAATATCATCAACAGCTGTTCCTCGTTACTATTCTAAGTTGCGATATGATAAGAGCGGCTGATGGATTAAATTGTAAAAAACTGATTGGGTTTGGAACAAAAACGATTTTTTTCAGTTTGATGGATAGAAACAAATGAATGCATAAACTGAAACGTTCATTGATCTCGGTTAAGAGAACACAATGATAGCATCAAGATGTTATGTATTGAGCCAATAAAAACTTTTTATATGAAGGCAGAATTTGCAAACTTTTTAGATGAATTACTAATGTTGGAAGGATAACGGTTACGAGTAATCATGATAGAAGAAATGATAACAACGATACTGATCTTAAGCATATCAATACTAGTATAAGTTAGCAGAGGTAATAATAATGATGACCACTGTAATAGTAATGATAAGATTATCAGTGCTTATTATGAAGTTGAAAATCAGAGTTAATCCAAAGTTATTTTTCATTCATCTTAAAGGAATCCCAATCACTTCAACGAAACCAGCAACTGAACCAGCAGCAGTATCAATATCAACAACAAGCACCCACCCAACTATCAGTCAGTAGCATTTCTCCTCAACAAGGACAATCTTCACCTCAGATCGAAGTACTGCAATCTATCGGTTCACAGTCTACGTCAACGTCATTCGCATCACAACAATGCCAACAAACTTGTCAAATGAGTAAACTCTTCTGAAATCTTTTAAATTATTGCTTCTTCAGATCGCAGAATTCTTCATTCAGTAACTTGCGTATTCACCACGATTGCTATGTTGCAAATTAAAATCCTAACGCTGTATGATACCCCATGATCTCAAGTGATCCCCATGATCTTAAGTGGTCTTAAGTGACCCCATGATCGTGAGTGATCAAATTAGGAATGTTTCACTTTGATATACACTGTAGAATATAACTGATATATGAAGTACGGTTACTATGCAGTAGATTAATCCCATGTCATTGGTGCTAAATTCGAGATTTGATTCATCACGAGATTATATCTAATCGCTAAACAATATTCTCAACTCGACGATATTTCAGAATGTTATCAGTCTTGTCAATACCAGCAACAACAACAAGCTCAAGTCTCAACTTC